AAAAAAAAAAAAAAAAAAAAGTCCTACAGGAGGGAGGAGCTAGCAAGATCTCCTGAGGGGGGAGGCACACAAAAGGATTACTGCACACTCAAGATGACTTTTTAAATGCAATCTCCAGATAAAGAAAGGCTACCTTTGTCCCCTCTGACCTAGAAAATTCTTGAAATGCCAACCTATAAAACAGCAGAAACAATCCTGGCAGAAATGGGCAACAGTTCTTTAACTTGACAGTTTTCCAATGGAATGGGGGTAGCCCTCCACTAGGGCAGAAGGTCAGGCCCATTTCATCAGAAAGTGGGTGCTTGTGCCTAAAGGGGACAAGCTTCTGTGAGGACCATCAAAGTGGGTGTGAAGGAAGTGCAGGCCCTGGAGGCTTCATGGGGCTCTGAGCTGCCATGGGGCAAAGCCAGATGCCCCCCAGGCCACAGCCAGCCTGGGAAAGCCAAGAGCTTCACTGGGGAGAAAACTCACCTGCTGAATGGGCTGCCACAGTGAGTGCCCGCCTGGCATTAGATCCACCCAGAAGCTTGCTAGAAATGCCAGTTCTAGAATCCTGCTCCTGGGGGACCCCTGGAGTCTGAGCCTGGGGAATCTGCATTTCTGAAGCCCCTCCAAGTGAGGTTTGATGTTTTGGAAAACAAATACAAGTTGGATTTAAAATTTCTAACAGACTTCAGATCTTCTATTCCTAGTTGGGTGCCTATCAGCGCCTGCAATGGTTCAGGGTGGGGGGCACGTGTGTTAGGTTGGGGCCAACTCTCTATTATCCACACCAACCAGTATTATCCCAACTAACCAGTATTCCAAAATTCATCCCTGTTGCTCTTCGTAATATCTGCTTTAATTGTTATATTTAAAACCAACAGTGTCAGTCTCAGCCAATATAAAGGCTAATGTCCTACCTAAGCTGCCAGGCCACCTAGGATGTGCGATTATGGCAAAGGCAAAGAAGCCTGTTGTGATAAACAACTGTAACCAGGGTAGAAAGCCTTGGGCCTCATCAGGGGACTGTGGTGCAAACCTGGCAATAACAGGACCAGAGCTGAAAGGAACCTCCCGTTGCATTAGTGCAGACGCGGACCGCACAGCCTCCGGTGCACCCAAGGTACAGTGCCCTCCAGACGGAGTACAGTACCCAATAGAAACCAGTAGAAGTGGGCGTACAGAACTGTTTCCTAACAATACTGATGCTGCGTGTGCCGCCTGACAGTTCACCCTGTCTACAAATAAGCTACAAAGATTTAACAAGCCCCTTTTAAGAAACTTGGATCAATCCTGCCTCACACCCCTCCCTTTTGCAGCATGTAAGATGCCCTAGAGAGCTGGGCAAGGTGGGGCGATTGGAGGGGGCTCAAATTTTAATCCTACCCCCCACACACTGCCTGTGAGACCCTGAGCCAGTTACTTAACCCGCAGCCTTAGTTTCCAAATCCGTGTATGGGGTTAAGAGTGTGAGGATGGCACACTTCTCAGCACAGCTGGCCCTTGACAAATCCCTTCTTTACTGCCATGGTCCTAAAGAGGAAATGCCAGCAAAGACTCCCAAGGCCAAAGAGACAAGGCAAGCGCTGCTTAGAATGGGTATAGGTGCGACTTCTTTTTGTTTGTTAAAATTAGAGGAATGGTAGATTTCCTGCAGCCAGAGGACAAATGATCTCCGCTTCCACAGCGGGTGCCCCTCGGCCTCTCGGCCCGGCCCCATAGAACTCTGCAGCCGCACCCCACGCCAGCACCCCCGCCCCAGCTACACACCCCCCACCGAGCTCTCAGCGGCCGGCCGCTGGGCACTCTCCCACGAGCGGGCTGGGGTTGGGCTTTTAGAAAAGGGTCAGCAGGCGCAAGGGCTGAGGTCCACCCTCCGGGCAGGCAAGCAGCGGAGAAGAGCACAGGGAGCGGGGCGGGGGCGGGGACGGGTCTACCTTGCAGGAGCGCGCAGCACTGGCCGTCCGCTGTGCTCCAGAGTCGGGCTGTGCCGTCCTCACTGCCGGTCAGCAGGCGCTGCCCGTCGGGGCTCAGGCTCAGCCAGTTGATGCCCCCGCGGTGATCGGCGCAGACCCTCAGGGCCGACCCGCTGCCCCCCATCCCGCCCGCCGGGATGGAGACGAGGAGGAGCTGCGCACCGCTAGGGAGGGACGTCTTGGGGTCCGCGGGGGGGCTCTGTGCGGTGGTGGCCCGAGGCCATTGCCGGGAGCCAGGACAGTCGGCTGCTGCGGAAGCACACGGAGGGATTGACAGACCTTAATTCCTTGCAGCCCACCAGCCTCCCCGTCCGCCAGCCGGGCGGGGGATGGCGTTGGGGGGAGTGACCGCTGAGGACCCCCACCCCCGATGGGGCAGTCCTAGACGCGCGGGAGCAAACCACCCCTTCCTGGCACCGCCCCGTCGGACCCGCACCCCACCGGCGAACCGGAAACGGTGTCTCGGGGTGCACAGCCTCTTCTCCTGCCCACGGGGCCAGAACGGAGAGAGAAACCTGAGAACCGAGCGTCCCGCGCTCTGCACGCCCTGCCTGACCCGCGCCGTGCGCTCCCGGCGGCCGAGAGCGGAACAATACCGGTCAGGCTGGCTCCTCCTCAGAGACCATCCCTCAACCTGTCTCCTCCCACTTCTGCGGCTGCGCTTCAGCCCCCACCGTGCACTCCCGGCGCCTCCGGCCACAGCCCCAGCATGGGTCCCGGGGACCGTTTCTTGCGCTACCTCCCCGGCTGCACGGGCTGAGTCTCCCGGTTCTGCCCTTAGACCCCAGAGCTAAGGGATGAAGGAGGAGGAGGCAGACGGCAGGGTCTGGGTGGAGCAAAATCGTTGCTCACCCCTACCAGGCAAGTCAGGTCCTCCCCTGCGCCTAGCCTTTAGGACCCTGCCGAGGGACTTTTGGGAACAGCAGAGTGGTCCTCGAGATGAGAGGCGCAGTTGATAAACACCAGGTCCGCCCCGCTGGGAAATACGCATTCTACAAAAATCCGACCCGGGAGAGGGAGATCCAGCTGTGCCAACGCCAGTGTGGGGGTGGGGTGCGAGCCCCGGTGGCCAGAGGTCAGGTTCAGCCGCTGCAGGTTTCGCTGGGCGCTAGCCTCTGACCGTCCCACGAGGTCTCTGCGGGAATCCCCACCGCGCCTGCCCGGAGCCCTCCTGGAGCGCCCTGGCTGCTGGCTAGCAGCTCCCGACAAATTTGCTGGGGAGATGGAAAGGTGACCGCCCCCCCCCCACACACACACTCGGATCCTCTAGGTCCTAAAGGTAGAAGGATTTTCCGAATTTTCTGGGGCTCTTGCAAGAATCCAGGGAGTAGAGCAAGGAGTGGGGTGAGTTTTGGAGAGCCAGACGGCTCCAAGATGACCAGACCTTGCCGTGTCCAAACTCCAAAAGAAATCCCATACTGGGGTCCCACAGGGCACCGGACCTTTATTTCTTGAGTAGACTAATCAGAGAAATCCATTCTTTCCTCCCAAATTTGTAAATCCTCCTAGACCAGAGCACAGAAGGCTCTGGAAGGCGCAACAAGATCACCTGTGCCAATGGACACACCAAAATCAAGTCAACTGTACTTTAGCTGAGTGCCCCCCCTCCAGTTGCAAACCCAAACCTATACTATTTTCTTTCTTTTCTTTTCTTTTTTTTTTGGACAGTCTCACTATGTCACCCTGGGTAGAATGCTGTGGCATCACAGCTCACAGCAACCTCAAACTCCTGGGTTTAAGCAGTTCTCTTTCCTCAGCCTCCCAGTAGCTGGGACTACAGGTGCTGGCCACAATGCCTGGCTTTTTTTTTTTTTTTTTAAGCTACAGTTGTCCTCGTTTAGCAGGCCCTGGCCAAACTATAAAAGAAGAGGGTGGTGGGTGGATTGATTGAGTTCACGGGTTCGAGACCATCCTGAGCCAGAGCGAGCCGCTGTCTCTACTAAAAATACAGAAAAACTGAGGCAAGTGCATCTCTTGAGTCCAAGAGTTGGAAGTTGCTGTGAGCTGTGATGTTGCCATGTCATTCTCCCCAGGGTAACAGCTTGAGATTCTGTCTCGAAAAATAAAAAAAAAAATGTGTGGCCCGAGACAATTCTTCTTCCAATGCCGCCTAGAGAAGCCAAAAGGTTGGACGCCCAGCTTGAGATGGTTCTATTTACAGTGATTCTGCTTCACGATGGATTGGAAGTGATAGCGTTTGATGGACATGTACTTGGAGTACCCATACAACCATTCTGTTTCACTTTCAGTACAGTGCTAAATAAACTACATAAGATAGTCAAAACACTTTAATGTAAAATTGGCTTTGCGGCAGGTGACTTAGCTGAACTGTAGGCTAATGTAAGTGTTCTGAGCACAGTTAAGTAAGCTCGGCTCAGCTGTGATGTTCAGCAGGTTAAGTGTGTTAAGTGCATTCTTGACTTGTGATGTTTTCAACTTACACTGGGTTTACAGGACATAACCCTGTTGTAACTCAGGCAGCATCTGTGTTGCTAACAGCGTGGATCCTGGTAGGAGGCACACGAGAGCTGGAGGATGATACACAGTGGAAGAACTGAAGTGTCTTTGTTTTTAGGTTTTCCAAATCATCAACATGGAAAAGTGCTCAACTTATTAGTCATAAAGGATGTACAGCAACTAGAATCAGAACTTTCTTTCTTATTTATTTATTTTGGTTTTTGAGACAGAGTCTTACTTTGTCGCCATTGGTAGAGTGCTGTGGCATCACACAGTTTACAGCAACCTCTAGCTCCTGGGCTTAGGCGATTCTCTTGCTTCAGCCTCCCTAGTAGCTGGGACTACAGACACCCACCACAACACCTATTTTTGCTATTTTTTTGTTGCATTTTGCCAGGGCCGGTTGAACCCACCACCCTCAGTATATGGGGCCAGTGCCTTACCCAGTGAGCCGCAGGTGCTGTCCCGATGGAGTCTCACTATATCGCCCTCTGTAGAGTGCCAAGGCGTCATAGCTCACAGCAACCTCCAACTCCTGGGCTTAGGCAATTCTCTTGCCTCAGCCTTCCAAGTAGCTGGGACTATAGGTGCCCACCACAATGCCCAGCTATTTTTGTTGTTGTTACAGTTTGGCTGAGGCCAGGTTCGAACCCACTACTCTTGGTATATGGGACCAGTGCTCTACCCACTGAGCCACAGGTGCTGCCCAGAACTTTCTATTATTACTTTTTTAATGATATATAATAGTTGTGTGTATTTTGGAGATACCTGTGATATTTTGATACGTGTTCACAATGTGTAATGATCAAATCAGGGCAGTTGGGATACCCCTCACCTCAGACATTTATCTTTTCTCTCTTCTAGCTCCTTTGAAGTATACAGTAGTGTTAACAACTATCATTTCCCAGCTGTACTATTGAATACTAGAACTTATTTCTTCTTTCTAATTGTATTTTTGTATCCCTTTGAAGTTTTTTAAGATGTCTTGTGTTTAAGGACAAGAAAAACCTCTAGGGAGGAGAAGCTGACAATACAGGAGGGGGTGGGCAGCAGGCAGCGTGAGAGCCCTAAGGAACAAGAAGAGGAGGAACTTTGGGAGCCGAAGGGGATAGCAGCCTTGAATGAGGGGCAAGAACACGCCTCCGTGCGGCGTGGGAGCACACTGTGCTTCTTTCCTTCTAGGCTAGTGGTTCTCAACCTTCCTAATGCTGTGACCCTTTAATACAGTTGCTCACGTTGTGGTGACCCCCAACCATAAAATTATTTTCATTGCTACTTCATAACTGTAATTTTGCTACTGTTATGAATTGTAATGTAAATATCTGATATGCTGGATGTTTTTAGGTGACCCCTGTGAAAGGATTGTTTGGCTCAGCCAAACAACCAAAGGGGTTGTGCCCACAGGTTGAGAACCACTATAAAGCAGGCAGGGATGTGGGGGGGAGGTGATGAAAATGTTCTAAAATGGAGTGGGGTGCTGCGCAAGGTGGCTCACACCTGTAATCCTAGCACTGTGGGAGGCTAAGGTGGGTAGATTGCTTGAGCTCAGGAGTTTGAGACCAGCCTGAGCAAGAGTGAGACCCCTTCTCTTAAAAAAAAAAAATAGCCGGTGTTGTGGTACGCACCTGTAGTCCCAGCTACTCAGGAGAATGAGGCAAGAGGATTGCTTGAGCCCAAAAGTTTGAGGTTGCTGTGAGCTATGATACCACGACACTCTTCCAAGGGTTACAAAGTGAGACTCTGTCTCAAAAAATAAATAAATAAATAAAAGGGATGCCCATATCTGTGAATTTGCTGAAAAACCATTGAATTGTACACTTTACTTGGATCAATTTATAGTATGTGAATTATGTCTCAATAAAGATGTTTGTTTTTGGAGACAGAATCTCATTTGGTTGCCCTTGATAGAGTGCCATGGAGTCATAGTTCATAGTCAGGGCTCAAGAGATCCTTTTGCCTCAGCCTCCCAAGTAGCTGGGACTACAGGTCCTCACCATGATGCCCAGCTATTTTTAGAGATGGGATCTCACTCTTGCTCAGATTGGTCTCGAACTCCTGAGCTTAAGTGATCTACCCACCTCGGCCTCTAAGAGTGCTGGGATTACAGACATGAGCCACTGCACCTGGCAAGATGTTTTTTAAAAAACTGCACACACAATGAAATAGCACCTCTCATCTACTAGGATGGCCATAATTTTTAAATTGGAAAATCATAAGTGTTGGCAAGGATGTGGAGACATCAGAACCCTCAAACATTGCATAGTAATGCAAAATGGTATAGCTGCTTTGAAAGATAGTTTTCTGGGTTTCTCAATAAGGTTAAACACAGAATTGCCATATGACCCAGTAATTCTACTCCTAGGCACATACTGAAAAGAGTTAAAAACAGGTATTTGAACAAAAATTTGGAAATAAATGTTCATAGTAGCCCTCTTCACAGTAGCCCAGAGATGTCCATAAACAGATGAGAAGCTAAGCAAAATGTGCCATATTCGTACAATGAAATTGTACTCAGCTATAAGAGGAATGGAGTACTGATCCACATACACATAGATGGACCTAGAAAACTTTATGCTAAGTGAAAGGAGCGGACACAAAAGGACAAATATTATATGACTCCATTTATTTGAAATACCCAGAACAGACAAATTGCACAGGTAGAAAGCA